GCCTTTCTCTGCCCTTGGGCTTGGGCGGTGCTCGCTCGGTGTCCCCTTCACCTGGCCCATCAACAGCAAGCAGGGATCTGGCCCAGAGCCTCAGAGGGGCTCCAGCTCCGGCCCCACCCTTTCTCCATCGTAGCCCACACAGTCCTGGGAAGGAAGCAGACACCAGACAGGCACACCATGCTGCTTCGTCCAGCCCCCTTGTCCCCAGGGTCCTGGAGGTGCCTCCCTGTTGCTGTCCGCCAGAAGCCTACATAGAAGGGTGCTGAGCACCAGGACAAGGAATCAGGGGCTCAGTATGGTCAGGTGATTCAGCCAAAGTCTCCCAGGACTGAAACCCAGGTCCCTCAGACTGCACTTGCCAGAGAGACAGGAGCTCCGCCGTCTGCCAATTTCGCATCTACTTCCTCTTCCTCCCCCTCTCCAGACTCAACCCAGTCACCACCTTCCCTTCCTCTGGCTTGGGCTACCATCCCAGTGCCTGACACCCACACCCCCACTAGGGTCAGGCCCCGCCTAGATCCACAACACGCAAGGAAGCAGGTGGAGGGTGAGGGTCAGATCCTGTTTCCAGGTCCACGTTTACCCAGCAATCCTGTGTCTACTCCCTCATTCACAAGACATGAGGGTCTGGTGAGTCCACCTGGGCCAAGAGGAGCCTAAGGCTCAGGGAGGGCAGGGGGCTCACCTGAGCCCCACCTCACACCAGGACGACCTCTGGACCCCAGGCGCCAATCCTGGTGGCATCAAGTCTCCACCCTGCTCAGAACCGCTGCTGAGGTTGTCTGGCTGAGGAGTTGAATTCATCCTGTATATTGTTAGTGTTTCCTGGGTACCCCCTGGTGCCAGGCACCCCGCTAGGAGTTAAGGAGTCTAAGCCGAGTAAGTCCTCACAGTTCCTGCCTTCTGGAAGCTCACGTCCACACGGGCAGGTGGATAGAGCAGACTCAGTGGGACCGTGTCCCCTGGAGGTACCGAACACACCTGTGCCTGGAGACTGCATGTGTGTTCACAGCCCCAGACGGGAAGCACCTGAAACGTCGATCATAACTAAATAAATTGCAATATATTCATTCATTCAGTGGGACACACCACAGCAGGGGTTGACAAGCGTGTTCTGTAAGGGGCCAGATAGTAGATATTTTATGCTTTGCGGGCCATATGGTCTCTATCGCAACGACTCAACTCTGCGTCGTAAGGCGACAGCAGTCATAAATGATCTATGAAAGACTAAGCATGGCTCTGTTCCAATAAAACTTTATTTATGGACATGGAAATGTGAATATTGTGTAACTTTCACATGCCATGAACTATTTTTCTTTTGATTTTTTCCCCCCAACCATTAAAAAACATGAAAACCGTTCATAACTCGTGGGCCATATAAAAAGGCAGTGGGCTGGATTTAGTCCACAGGCCATGGTTTGCAACCCCTGCTCTTTAACAATGAAAACAAACTTCAGCCATACCCTCAACTGGATACATCTTTTAAAATCCTAACACTGAGTAAAAGAAGCAGGTCACAAAAGAAGACACACAATATCATTCTGATTATACATAAAAAACTCACAAACAGGCAAGGCTAATCTATATCATACAGGGACACAGTACAGGGGAGTGAGGGGTGTCTTGGGGGGTACAGGGCAGGGGGGTGCTCTGGGGCACTGGAACGCTCCCTTTCTCGACCTGGTTGGTAGTCGCACAGGACTTTGCTTTATAATATTTATTGTACCTTTCTGTATGAGTATTATATTTCACAATTTAAAAAGAGAAAGCAGTGACAATAGGACCTATTGGAACGGCTCTGAACACCTACCTCACAGGCATTTATAATCCACCCGGAATTACAGCCCAGTGGGGATCGTATCCCACTGCTTTGCTGAGAGCCGCCCCTCCCCAGTCTAACTGAACCTCTCAGGCGACCGGCTCTGCCTTCTGGCCTCCCAGCCTTCATCCATGCTGGGCCTGCCACCCACCCACCTGCTCCGCCTCTTCCCCATCTCCGCTCCATTGCCCCCTCCGACACTCCCCCTGTCCCACCTCCAGTGGAGAGGTGCTTCTAATCTGCCTGCCTGGAAAGCTCTTTATTGGGATTAGACAAAGATGAAAAGCAGAGGCCAATCCTGACAGAAGCCAGAGCAGTGGGAAGGGAGGCAGGAGGCTCCTGAATGCCTTTTGGACCAACAAAGGGAGCAGTGACACCTGAGTTAAGAGCAAACGGCAGTGTGCAGGAATTGGTAACTCCCGCCTCTGGTAATGGGTCAATGTTCTCCAATCTCACCATTTCCACCGGGCTGAGAGTGGGGACTGTGGGCTTGTTCATCCCTCAGTGCCTAGAACTGGTCCTCCTCGATGGATATTTGAGAAATAAGTATAACCCAGAGTTCTGGAAAGGCCAGGAAGAGAAAGAGGACTAATATTTGTTGACGACATTGAGGCTCAGAAAGGTTAAGTAACTCGCCTGAGGTCACACAGCAGTCGCTAGAAGAAGGCAGGACTTGAACCTAGTCTGCCTGGCTGATAAGCCCTTGGAGGTGACTGAGATCTAGTGGAAGCTGAGCTAGAGCAGGTGTGCAGCTGCTCCCAGGAACGCTGAGTGTCAGGCTCAGATGATTCACCCTGGGGAGAGCACTTGATCACAAGCGACTGCAGGACCCTCTGAGAAAAGTGGAGTTTGCAGAGGGCTCAGGAGAGCAGAGGAGAGCAGGCCTGAGTCCCAGCTCACAACAGGAAGACAAGGGTTGGGAGCAAGAGAGGTCCTGAGATGTCATCCCAGGGTGTGCTAGAGGCCACTGGAAAGGTTGGAGTGACTCTAAGGAGGCCCTGGGCTCACCAAGATGTGGAGCATTTTGATTGGCTCCGTGAGGCTGGCAGGTGGCTGAAAGTCTCTGAGCCATAACCATGTGCCCTAACCACTCGGTCTCAGGATGGGCTACCAGGCAGGCTCTACTGCGGCACCCATTCAAAGGATGAGGCAACTGAGGCACAGTGACATTACAAACCAGCCCAAGGTCCCGGGGTGAGTCACAGAGCTCAGATTCAAACTCAGGCTGAAGACCTCTGGCCTGTCCTCAACCGTGTCATATGGCAGTTTAGGGATACTGTGCATTGACCCTGGGCTTCAGTGCCCATGCTCCCCAAGACTCCCTTGGAGACATAGTTGAGGGGGTGCAGGCTGGGTCTTGGTTCTGGCATTTGACGGAGCTTGTCGCCCCAGGCTGATGGATGAAGTCAGGGGAGGTTTGGGGAACGTGGGAGCAGAGCAGCAGGATTCCTTCATCAAACCCTCAAAATTCAGAGACAAGAGGTTGGGGAAGGGGTGTGGAGTGACAGAGACAGAGCTACAGGGGCAGGACCAGGAGTAACAGGGGTGCTGTCTGCTGCTCCAAGAGTTCCAGGAGGCCGCAAGGGTGCTTTCACTTCTTGTGAAAGAGCAGAGCTTCTCTTTTGTGTAATGTCAGCTACAGTACGGGCATGGGGGTGGGGTGGGGGCTGGAGATCTGTTGTTTGTTTGCAGTTGAGAGGATTGCAAAAGAGCTTTTCACAGCAGCACCCTGCAAAGTCTCTTCCACTCAGTTTCCGGGATGTACCTGCACCTTTTTGGGGAGGAGGGACCGCACAAAAAGAAATGGGAATTGGGGAAAAATTAAGTTAAAAATGACTAAGAGTGAGTTCAAATGCATTGTCCCCAACAAGCTGCATTTCCTTGGGCCATCTTTGCACTGGCCCATCCCTGAAGGGTAGGAGAGAATACAAGGTAATGAGGTTCAAAAAGAGAGGTCACCAGGGGCCCACCATCAGCTCTTGCCTCTCTGGGGGTGTGGGGATTTTTCTGTGAAGAATGTTCTTTAGAAAGAAAGGTGAGAGGAACCCCAGAGCCCACTGCTAAGGGTCCTAGCTCCAGGCTCAGGCTGACCTGGGTCTGAACCTGACCTCTACTCACTTGCTAGGCCTTGGGTAAGCTTCCTGGACTCCCTGGGCCTCCATTGCCCTGTTCTTAAATGGTGTTAGTGGGGACAGCACCTCAAGGGTGCCTTGAAGAGGGCTGAGTATCAGTGTGAACATGATAATGATATAGCTGTTATTGTTCATGGCGTAAGTGAAAGTCAGAGGATGAAGCAGAAATGGGGCAGCTCCTGAAAGCCTCATCAAAGTCTGAGTGAAGAGGAAGAAATGCACCTACCCTGCACAGCCAGGGGCAGAGGTGATCCTGGGAATGCAAGAGGGAGAGACTGAGCCCAAGGGGTCCCAGTGTGGGCAGCCCTGGCGAGGGACACTCCTGGGGGTTCCCTGGCCTGTATGAACTCACCCCAAGGTCACCCACCCCAGGCCCTGGCTTGTATCCAGGTCACCCAGCTTCTGAGGGGGCCTGGACCAGAAAGGGAGTGGGGCACAGTGACGGCCCCCAGAAAGGCCTAACTCCGGTTGTAAAATAATGATGTGGCCTCTGGTTGTATTTCAGGAAGTGGGAGGTGCCACCCTTTCTGGCGACAGTGACAATTTTGTGCCCCAAGTTACAGTGCTCCCGGTGGCCAAACGCCGGCCTTCCCTCCTGTTCCTGGCTAACACGGCAACAACGCTGAGGGTGGCCCTGCCACTTGACAGGTTCAACCTGGTGCTTCCACCATAAGATTCCTCAGGGGTGAGATGTCCCGCCCCATGGACTCCTGCACCCAACCCCAATGCCCCCAGGCTGCAGCAACAGCCCACCCATCTTGTTTAAGGACCAGGAGGTCAGGCTGTGCTGGGAGGGAGGCTGTTAACACAGCAGCAAGGAGGGGGCGCTGCGCCCCCCCTGCACCCCAGCCCCCTCGAAAACCACCTTGACAAGGCATTAGCTAAACACCTCCTGGTCCCCAAAGGCTTCCCCTGCAAAGTCTGCAATGTTCAAACGCAACCAGCAAATCCCCTAGAGACAGGAATTAGCTGTACGCGGAGGGGCGGGTGGATGAAAGCGGCTCTGATGTGCAGAGCCAGCGAACACATGAAACCAAGGAAGACCATACCTGCGAGCTGCAGGGTCCAGGGGGACAGGAGCCAGCCCAGGAGCCAGGGTGCCGTGAGAGGGCCCGGCGGCGGGGCCCGCCACCGCGGAGGCCGGCTCTCCATCGGGGCCTGCTGGTCAGTGTCCCTCCTTCCTCTTTAGTTCACAGGAGGGGACAGC